TCCATGCAACCAGTCCAATCGTATCACTCCTGGAACTGATCATTATAAAATGGGGCTCAAGTTTCGATGGAAAAGATCTTTAAAATATCAGCACCGTTAACCAAATGAACAATTGTGTGTTAGCTTATCTACTGCCTCTCCTGTCCGGGTATGAATAAATCCAACGGGATCTGGTGAGTTTTCACTGAGAAAACGATTACTACTACAAATCCAGTAAGCTCTGCCGAGGCTAACAGGTGATTCCACTGAAACAATAGACATTTGATTAACAGCATAAATCGCCCTATATATCACCTGTGAATTTCAATTTATCTATCAAGGAGATTTATTTTAATTAAAACAAACCGGAATTCCCAATTCGGTTTGATTCCTAACATACGGTCATCGTTAGTTGTTCCCCGTTGTACCGCAAATACAACCCAGTACATACGAACCTGTTCGAGTCACTTGGATCAAAATGCCCTATGTGAATCAGTTCCGATATGCACTGTCTCAGATCGTACAAACGTTGGTCGGGGTGGATGTCTTGGGCTGCGGTTGATCACCCCTGATTTGCACCTCGCGAAACGCTCTCACATATGACCAAACGTCTGAAACAGCATCTGCTATGCAATTCCTGTTCACTGCCTTTCCATCGCGGCGGTGTATTTCCGTCAAAGTGTGAAGCTAAAATGTCAGTCATCACATTCGGGATTAAACCGGATCGGTGAACCACGGACAGTTCCACTCAGAGAGTTGACTAAAAGTTTTGATTCCAAACCGACTAAGAAGAGGCGTATGAACCTCATACACTCTCCTGATTATGACACTAATCACTGGGTCGATTGGGCATCAAGGTATACAAGGGCACATTGGACATTTGACCCCGTCTAAAAGATGTATGATCTGATGAACTTGACACCGGCCACCAATGAATTGCGGTTTTCACACAGCACTTGGTTACCTTGAGGAATCAGGCTTTCATTAACTGAAGGCTCCGATTGTAAATTCCACAAGCGAATTCATCTGACGGGGCCTGGGCAAATGGGCGGCATCGCATCCACAAACAAATCATGGAACGTTTTACTTTTTGATAAAGGTTATTGTACTATAATTTGTTTGGTACAGTAGTGAAATACAGGAATTACACACTATAACAACACGAACTGCTATACCTACCGCTATCATAGCGAAGCACGATTCGCGTTCTTTTTGAGCAGCAGTTTGCGTTGCCTCATAATCTCTCGAGGTAAAAGTAGACCCAACGGACCCAATGTGTGAATGCAAAACACGTAAAATAAACTGATGAACTGTTTGACTCCAGAACGTAAATACGCTGCTTCAAACCACACCCGATTTTAATTCAAAACATTTCTTCTTGTAATGTAAACGTATTCCTTTCATAACTCGACCTGTGGATTTATACTACTACTACTACTACTACTACTACTACTACTACTACTACTGCTACTACTACTACTACTACTACTACTGCTACTACTACTACTACTACTACTACTACTACTACTACTACTAGTACTAGTACTAATATTGATAAGATGATTTGAGAATGCGTATTTGCCCAAATATTCATAAATATATTTGAAGATTAATTATTTTAATTTTGTTAAAAACTTTTCTGGGGATTTTTACATCAGCTCCTCAGGATTACTGTTTGCATGATTGTATTGAAATCTTGTTCATGGGGCTTGTTAAATTATTTTCTGACAGTTTATAGTCTCGAATCAATCCGGTCCCCTACTGAATATTTCTAAATGCTTCGAATGCTTTTTTAGCCTTTTCCGATCCGAGTATCGCTTGGAATCCCCAGTCATTAATTCTGTATCTGTCACCAGAACACACAGAACCAAATGACTAGGAGTCATTATGAAGGGCGATCTACGGTAGTCCTCTCATCTGCTAACCTGTGTTGATAAATTGCGTCGCTTATCCTTCCAGACACGCAAGTGAAATAATTTTAGAGTGAAATATCCAATGCATTTTCTAATGTTATACTTTATTGTTTGACCGTTATTTTCCGGGGACTATTGAAAAGAGGTTTCATTACTCATCGTTGCGGTTTGGTAAGTCCTAGCCGGTTTTTTCTCTGATTCTCTCGAACAGTCTAATCATAAAATTGTGTGATTTTCATTTTACTTCGAGTGAGAATCTCACCGATGAGATACTCAATCAACCACCTCAGTCATTCACTCAATCCCGACCTATCTGTCTGTCCTTCCCACGTGCTGCAACCCGATCCACGGTTTTCGGTGCTTGCGCTCCCGCATAAACATTAATTACAATACAACGGTACCCCCATCAGGCTCATGTTCGAACAGAACCCTGAAACCAACTAATTTCAAACCGACAAAGATGGTCTTTTATTAACTTTTTATGCCTAGTTAGTCAAATGCCTATTCATNATATCTATATTTAAGGACTGATCGTGTCGCTTTTGGTACACCTTTTCCTCGGCTTGTAACATCCACTAATCGGGATTACGATTTGCATTATTTTACATGATTTTCTATTGAGATCTCGAAGAAGCAAGCACCATTCTGTGAAACATTTGCAAGGATACTGGATGAATATCTTCTGAAGTCCGATCCGACTTCACTTCACTTATTGTAAACGACCCTGCTAACTCGCGGGATAATAATCACCTGTATGGGGATTAGAGTTTTGTCTACTGAATGCGGTTAGATCCGATTTCTTGTCTGTCATTCACTCTGATGAAGTTCGAGCTGATTATCAGATAAGGAATTGAGACCAGTCGCCTGCACTTCGGTTTTACCAACAATTTCTGGAAGGTTTATGATTATGATTATTATGATCAATATTCCTAACACTGGGCAGTTTTATCACGGTCAATTCACTTATCACAACAACAACAACAACAACAACGGGCTACCTTAGATGTTCTTGTGCGCTTGGTAAACTCAACTTGGTGATACCTAGACATTCACGGCACAATATTTCATTTGTGTCTCCTCGACTTTAACAGTGATTTTATCTGTGTTGACAGGAACAGGCTTTTGTCTCTACTCCAAGGTGTGTTGGATTGTCCCATACTACTCTATCTCTACTCGAAGATTATTTTGCTGATAGAGCACACTTCATGAAATTTTTGCAAAAACCTCTGACTCCCTACCAGTCAACTCAGGGGTGCTCCAGGGAGCAGTTCTGTCCCCCCCCCCTTTCTTTTCTCTTTCTATATTCGTGACCTACCCACTGACCCTGAGATGACCTTCTTATTATGCTTGCTGATGATATTCTAAATTCCAAGTTGATTTTCGTTTCTCATAGCTTCAAACCACTATGCTACCGTAAAATTACGGTATTCCTACTCCAAATTATCTCTTAAAACCTCTAGATGAAGGGATGTTACCTCCTCGGTAGCCAAAGGAGAACGGCTACATTCTTTTGAAAGAAATTGTTCTACACTCTATGTTGACAACCAACCTGTAACTGCTCTGCAATACCTTGGTGTTGCTATCTGCCAAGATCTCACCTGAACTTCAGGCTGAAACTCTACTTTTGAAAAGATTCGACGATTGTTTCGTTATTTCCCGCTCGCATTCTTCAAAAGTTCTCCTGTATTTACTCACCCGATTTGTATACCCTTGTGTTGTTACTCATCTTCGTTACTGGTCCCCAGTGTTATTTACCGGTCTTAGAGTTAAAGATTTCACAATTCTACACCGGTCTATTCAAAGTATTTCTCGCACAAGCGGTATTCCCAATTCGCAATTGATTAACTTTATCACTGACAAGCATTTTACCTCTTGCGAAAACTTCTGCAAAAATATTCTATCAGACATCACTCACGCATTAGACATAGAACTTAAGCAATGCGTATCCACTTCTGTAACTAGATGCCTTTACAAACTGGTGTATACTCGTACCATTGCATATCGTTTGTCCGTCATCCCCAATCGTTCGTGATTTCGGGCTCAAAAAGCATACATTATAGAAAACTTGAATTTCCTACGCAATTGATAATCATTTTCAAACTTT